CCATCCGGACACGGGGGAAGGCCTCATGCCTTGTATCTTCACTGCCCACCAGCCCGGCCCATAGCCCGGACACTTGAGGACCCCTTAATCTAGGACTCCCTCAGTAGCCCCTGAACCAGTCTTCAATGGCGATGTATTCGGCATGCCTATTTGTCTTCGGCATTGCAAGGCGGATTCCTCCTCCGAATAGCTTTAAAGCAGTCTTCTGAGTAAGGGAACTGTATCCGGCTCTGTATAACAGTTACAACCCTCAACCACAAGGGTACAATACTTAATCAAAATAAGGTATGTCTACTGACAGCTTTTTCAGCGAAACGTTACGTGTGGCCTTTTTATTATTTTGAACCGTTTTTGACCTCCCACTTCGCGTTTCGAGGCGCGGCCTCTATTGACACGTCTTGTCAAAGCAGAGATTGTGCCCCGTTATTGCGGGATTCTCATCAATACGGATTTAGGTTATCCAATCATGCCATTCGGACGCCCCCTTGTAAATAGGTGAGTTTTAAGGCTTGTGGGGGTGCTTGATATTCACTGCCTATATAAGCGGATAAAGATCCATCTTTTTACCCCATGCCTTCTTCCTTCCTAAGCCTTCCCATCCTCGAGCTCCAGCGCCCAAGCTTGTAGACATGACCAAGACACATCTCCGGTCAATAGCAAATAGCGAAACCTGGATGCTCATATTGGCTCCTATATATTCTACGAAGATCTTTATCGGTCAAACCGCATAACAACATACGTTGTTCCCTTTGTCATCGGTATGTTACTTGCCCGAGATTCGATCATCGGTATCTCAATACCTAGTTCAATCTCGTTACCGGCAAGTCTCTTTACTCATTCCATAATGCAACATCCCGCAACTAACTCATTAGTCACATTGCTTGCAAGGCTTATAGTGATTTGCATTACCGAGAAGGCCCAGATATACCTCTCCGACAATTGGAGTGACAAATCCTAATCTCGACCTATGCCAACTCAACAAACACCATCGGAGACACCTGTAGAGCATCTTTATAATCACCCAGTTATGTTGTGACGTTTGATAGCACACAACGTGTTCCTCCGGTATTCGGGAGTTGCGTAATCTCATAGTCAGAGGAACATGTATAAGTCATGATGAAAGCAATAGCAATAAAACTAAACGATCATTTATGCTAAGCTAACGGATGGGTCTTGTCCATCACATCATTCTCTAATGATGAATGATGTGATCGCATTCATCAAATGACAACACATGTCTATGGTCATGAAACTTAACCATCTTTGATTAACGAGCTAGTCAAGTAGAGGCATACTAGGGATACTCTGTTTTGTCTATGTATTTAGACATGTACTAAGTTTTCGGTTAATACAATTCTAGCATGAATAATAAACATTTACCATGATATAAGGAAATATAAATAACAACTTTATTATTGCCTCTAGGGCATATTTCCTTCATCTTCTTCCTGCGCGGCCTCCTCATCGCCGATCCTTCTTCTTGCTGTGTGGCCTCGTCGATATGGTCAGGTAATCCACACCCCACCCACACCATCCTCCTCCTTTCCCGTCCCACATGCACCGATCGACGGCGCGACACCTTCCACTGAAATCACTGCCCCCTCCTCCAATTAAGCGCCACCCACAACCATTTTGCATGCAGTGTAACATGGAGCTCAGTAGCATGCGGTCGCACGCGCGCACGAGGTCGCTATGGCTGCCATGCATGTCGACCGCCAGATCTTGGAGGACCACCTCGTTTTCGAGGCCATCGTCGACACCGCCATGCGGTTGTCTACTTTAAAATATAGTTCGTGCTATTTTCTCGAGGCCACCGCCAGTGCCTTCCAGTGATTTGTCCTCTGTAATGTTAATATGCAATCTGATGTTCAGTTAACAGTTTGGTCCTCTGAAATGTAATGTTCCATTATGGTCCAATAATTGCTACATTTCGTAGTACTGTTCTAAAGCATTCTTTGTTTTGTTAACTGTCTTATCTTCTAGTACATGTTTCCATTCTGCAATGTCGTGCTCAGTTTACTATTTTGGTTCATTTGGTATGCTATCCATTTAACTGTTTGGTTTAGTTCTGCAATTTGATTTTCATTTGCTGTGGATACAATTTTGTATTTTTATGCATGTGACACCGATCGAATTTGGTTGTACACAATACATATTCTACTGATAGTATGGCAACTCCCAATTAACCTGATCAAGATCTTCTTTATGTGTGTTGCAGGGAAACAATGGGAGACACTGTGGTTTACTATCGAGGTTTGTTCAAGTAGGGTCCTTTGGCTAATAGCACATTATTGTGCAGTTGCAGGAATCATTCTAATATTTAGGTTTCTTATAATTTGGTCTTGCATATGTAGGTCCTGCTGTCAGAGGCTTAGACCCACTGTTCGACCCATTTTGCATATGGGGAAATGAGATGTCCATGAATATCAGTCAAGTCAAGAAACTCAGAAAGATTGTTATGATGAAGAAACTTGCGACGAATAACAACAAGATCTTTGTTTACACAATGAAGAAGACATCAGTCAACTATAGGATGGTACCAACTCTTTTACCTTGTTTTTACCCCTTGCGCCATTTTAAAATTTACAACAGCGATTTATGCATAGCTTTGTTTTCAGTACTTTTCAAAGCAGTTCACCGATGATTACCTCTCAAACCACCTGCATGGTCAAGAGGCGAGGAAAGTATTCATTCAACACCCATGCTACAATATTGAAGGCTTGCTGAAGAGGACGAAGGTTGGGCGGACAATTATCCATAGCCACTGGCCTAAAGTTGTAAGGACATTCAACATCACTGAAGGCTCAATATTTGCCTTCCGCTTCTGCAGTTTCCCATATGAGATTCATCTGTCTATTTACCGTGTATGATGCTACTTTCTAAAGGTTTTTGATGCTGCATGTGAAACTTGGTGATGTTGTGTAATGATGTAACTGAGTGCCGAAGCTATCTGATGTAATTCGATTATGAAATCCTGGTTGCTTTTATAATATCTAGCGTGTTTTATAAGAAATATTAGTTTGATTAGTACATGGATTATCAATAATAGGCTAATTACCCTGCTTATTAGGGTTTTTTTATTGAAGACGTTTACTCAGACAGCACAGTGGGCGATGAACTCAAATAACCCGCATGGTTTCTAGAAAGTAGGCGTGTTCGATCAACTAACAATCACACACGGCTTCCGGCAGTGAACTATTTGTGTTAGGCCACCTTACACAAACGTTTCCACACAAAGAACTGTGTGTGATATACATACATACGGAAATGTTTTTTTAGGATTCACCGTGTGGGATGTACATACCTACGGAAATGATTTTCTGGGATTCACAATGTGGGGTGTACATACTTGCAGAAATGATTTTCCGGGATTCACCGTGTGGGATGTACATACATACGGAAATGATTTTCTCGAATTACCGTGTGGGATGTACATACCTACGAAAATGATTGGATTTCGATGCCTCGCCCGATCACACACGGCCTGAGCCTGTGTCCCAGGAGGGCATATCCCCGATGATTTCTGGGTCGTGTGGGGAGGACCCCCTATCGCCCACACTCACTTGGCGACGGTTCCAAATGCCGTCGCGAAAAGGGGTTAAAAACCGTTTATATAGCACGTCGCTGTACCAGTGAACGCCTCGCGGGAGCATATATCATGGTAGCATGGAGGGTGTATGATCTCAAAAGTTTCCTATACAACCCACTTTTAACTATTTGGCACGGTGTATAGGCTCACGTTGACTATGCCCATCTCATGAAAAAAGGCCTTTCAGTCATGCTGAGTTGAGCACGACCAGATAGGGTGCATGGAGGCAGCCATGCTCGTCCTAACTATAAAAGAATGTTCAAAATTTCTAAATCTATTTAAATTCTCAAAAATGTTCAGAATTTTATTTTTTTACATTTACAAAATATGTTTAAATTCTCAAAACATGTTAAAAAATTGTTTAAATTTGCAAAAAATGTTTAGAATTTCATATTTTGTTTAAATTTATTTAAAAAAATCAATTTTTAAAATTTTGTTTAAATTCTCAAAAGATATAATTCGTTTTTTATTTTTTCTTAAAAAAATGTTCATAAATTTAAAATTTGTTTAATTTTTTGAAAAATGTTCAAATTTCCAAATTTTGTTGAAAATTTTGGGAAATGTTCAGAATTTCATATTTTGTTTAAATTCTCGAAAAATCGGATTTCCAATTTTTTTTAAGAAAACAAAATTCCAAAATGTGTTTTGATGTTTAGTCACATTTTTTTAGAAAAATCACCATTCAAAAAAAATATTCGGAATTCAAAATTGTTCAACATGTAAACACATGCAGACTACCAAATAAAGTTTCAGCTCAGCATGTCTTAGCACATACACCGCTACCAAACAACAACAAATGCATGTACTCAACATGTCTAGAGCTAGCATGTCTCAAAGGAAAACAACAATGTTATGGTGGGAACTACTACCAAACACACCTAAGCGCTCGTATCATATGATATTTTTCGAGTGAGGCGTTTTGGAGGTCGAGCTCCATGCAACCCTTTATTTTTGAAAAAATTTAAATTCAAACTTTTCAATTTAATTTTTTTAGAAAAAACATGCAAGTATACAAAGCTGAAATGTATATGCGTGTAAAAATTCAGGATGAAATACTTTGAAATGTGACCTGTGCAAAAAAGACAAATTCAGGATGAAAAGCCTTAGATTTGTTTTTTTTTTTGCACAACCCTCATTTTAACATTTTTTGTCCTGAAAATTTACACACGTCTAAATTGTGCCTTCGTGTATATGTGTACTTTTTTCATAATTTTTTGAAATCTGGAAATATGAATTTTGATGAAATTTGAAAAATGCTTTTGGAGGCCTCCATGGAGCTCGGCCTCCAAAAGGCATTTTCGGATATTTTCCCCACTATATATTGCTCCCTCTTCTCCGTCCTCGAACCCTAGCCCAGCTGCCCACCCATTCCCCTCACCGCCGCCGCCACTCCGCCTCTGCCGCCGCCGAGATGGGTCGCGTGATCCGCGCTCAGCGTAAGGGTGCGGGCTCCGTCTTCAAGTCCCACACCCACCACCGCAAGGGCCCCGCCCGGTTCAGGTCGCTCGACTTCGGCGAGCGCAACGGGTACCTCAAGGGCGTCGTCACCGATGTCATCCACGACCCGGGGCGTGGTGCGCCGCTGGCCAAGGTGACCTTCCGCCACCCGTTCAGGTACAAGCACCAGAAGGAGCTCTTCGTCGCCGCCGAGGGTATGTACACCGGCCAGTTCGTCTACTGCGGACGCCGCGCCACGCTCTCCGTCGGCAACGTCCTCCCGCTCCGCTCCGTGCCTGAGGGAGGCGTCATCTGCAACGTCGAGCACCACGTCGGCGACCGTGGTGTCTTCGCCAGGGCCTCGGGTGACTACGCCATCGTCATCAGCCACAACCCCGACAACGGCACCTCAAGGTACTGTTCCTTGTCCTCTCACCCCTCTTTATAAATTATATGCCTATGGTTAGTTCTCCTGATAGTAGCTGTTATTGGATTTGCTTCATGTGATTCGCGGTGGGAAATGATGAAATGCTCATAGTTCGATCTGAATATATGTTCGTCCACTGCTTCTGATATGCGTGATTTAGATGCTCTTTAATTGATTAAAGATTGGAAACCTTTAATGTGCGTGCTTTACATGTTTGTTAATTTCTCAAAGACCAATTCTTAGATACGCATTCTGTGGTTGAGCCTTGAGATGTTTTCTGTTCATTGTATAATCTGCAACAGTTATGATATGCTTGCTCTTCTGTTATCCTGGAACTGGACATGATATGCTTGCTCTTCTGTTATCCTAGAACTGCACATGCATCTTAGAAGACTTTAAACCTTAAACCAGAGACATGCGATCCCTAACTATTTTATCCTGCTTCTGTCTTCAGATTGACCTACCCTGCCTTCAAACAATTATGATTGTTAGCGTTTGCATATACAAGGGCCATTTCTTATTATCAGTTCTTGTCAGTACAATATCCTACATGTTAATGGAATAGATATGATTGGTGTATCTTTGTTTATGTTGCCGGATGGCCTGATTCTTTTGATGAATGCTTCAGCTGCACAAATATTAAGACGCATTACTCATGTTGTGTTTATGCAGGATCAAGCTCCCCTCTGGCGCTAAGAAGATCGTCCCAAGCAGCTGTCGTGCCATGATTGGTCAGGTTGCTGGTGGTGGCAGGACTGAGAAGCCAATGCTGAAGGCTGGTAATGCCTACCACAAGTACCGTGTGAAGAGGAACTCCTGGCCTAAGGTGCGTGGTGTGGCCATGAACCCTGTTGAGCATCCCCACGGAGGAGGTAACCACCAGCATATTGGTCACGCCTCCACTGTCCGCCGTGATGCACCACCTGGCCAGAAGGTTGGTCTCATCGCTGCCAGGAGGACTGGTCGTCTCAGAGGCCAGGCTGCCGCCTCTGCTGCCAAGGCTGACAAGGCCACTTAGAGTTATCATTGCTGTTTATCTATGTTTGCTAGCTCTAGATTACCCGTCAGTGACATGTATTGCAGTAAGGATGTCGTTTTTGATCAGTACTTTGGTAACCTGGTGATATTTGTTATCAGTTTTCGCTGTCGTGGTCTGGATTCTTCAGTCCACATAAAGAAGATTATTATGCTTGGATATTTGTCTGTCGATTTTCATGAGTTAGCCTCTGGTGCTTATTTTGGTTTACTGTTTCTGTTTTAGTTTAGCTCTATTGCTGTATCTCTGAAAGGATTTTTGTTTGGTTGAATCAAACATAAAGCAGGGGTGTTATGCTTGCTTCTAGTTCTTTGGACTGTTGCTTTGCTGAGCGTCTTTGGATTGTTGCCTTGCTGAGCGTTAGGAATGAGATGTTTTTAGTTTGAAGTATGGCCGTAGCTTATAATCGGTACGGTAGTTGGTATAGCTTATAATCGGTACGGTAGATGGTATACGTTCCAGTGAAGGATAGTGACAAGACCAAGATCAACTCTCACATGATAATACTTGAAATAGCCCTATATATAATAGTTAAGCGGAAGAAAAGTAAAAAGATACAGGGTACATACCAGGGATCGACCAATTTCTAGCAAGTACTCTAGGGTTCTAAAGAGCTAGCCTAGCTATTGCAAGAAGGGAAAGATGCCGAGTAGATACTTTATGGGCGTGTTTGGTTCAGCAACTTTTGCCTGCATAGGGCTTCCGCTGATTTGGTTGTCTGCATACCCTCGAGCCTGTATTATTTGGTTGTTTGCATACCCTCAAGCCTGTATGGGGCGTAACAAAAAGTGACCTTTTTGGTTGGTCGCTTGTTTAGACGGAAACACAAGGCATGGTGTTTGGTTTCATGTTGTTTAGACGAAAACACAAGGCATGATATTTGGTTTCATGCAACACCTGTTGTCTGGTAACCTCTTTGGCGATGTGGTGAGGTTACTGGCACACATAGGTGTATAAAACAACCCAAAGACACACAAAAGATAGCAAACAGTAAGCAGTTTAATATACTACCACACTTGAACATAGTTCTAAACCATAACAAGCAGTTTTAACATAGTACGACACTTAAATATATCGGTTTTCAAGCAAAGCAGTACGAATGAACGATATAATCGATACTAAACCAGCTGAAGCAACGGAGAGCTGTCCTAGATGTTCACAATGAAGGTTCGTGCCTCCCGCACTTGGTCACCACTAAAATGTCGTTGTTGTTGAAGACGATGACCTCGAGCGTGTCGGGAGTCAGCAACTTGAAGGTCATCATGTACCCGACCTTGATCTGATGGACGGCGGCGAAGATGGCCCAACCCTGATAAAGAGTGATCCTGCCGTTCATCAGCCTCATAGTGACCTTCCATGAGCAGCCGGTGTTCGTCTTGAGTTTGAACTCTGTCAGCAGGGCCGGGAAGTGCTTGGTGAAGTCTAGGGGCATTGGAATGCACTCGAGCTTCGGGGCAAGGATGACCTTGCAGAAGTGGGTTGGCCCACCCTCATCATGGTAGTGCCCGTAGTTCCGGCGCTTGCCGCCGGGGGAGGGGGGGCTCCTTCGCCACCACATCGTCATCCGTGCCTGGCACCTCCTTAGGGGTGGTTGGCACAACCTCCAAGGGTGACACCACCTCCTTGCATGCCCTTCTCCATAGGTGGCACCACCTCCTTGCCCTTGTCATTGTTCTTCGACTCGATCTGCATTATGAACAACACAAAGTTCATGGCGTTATGAAGAGCACAAAGTTCAAAGGTTGATCGGCATTAAAAGCTACCGTCCAAAGCCCCTATATTTACCCACCCTGACCATCACTACTTACCCACAACCACACTCAGTTAACACTCTCTCTTCTCAGTCTATCACTCTTCCTCCTATCCATTGCCATGAACTCCAACTCCAACTCCAACCCAACCCCTTCCCTTGGAGCATTGGACGGAGGGCTTTCTTCCTCAGGTGCTCGCTCGATGACCGCACCAAGTTCGAGAACACCATGTAAGAGTGCTCGAACTTCAGCAGCATCGAAGACATGCACAAGAAGGCATGTATTGAGGTGAAGAAGGTGACAATGGATGAGTTGAAGACCCTAATTCCTGACCTAGTGAAGGGCGCTATGTCAGTTGACATCCTTCGCTGGGCCGTGAATCAAGCCGACTCCGACGGCGCTAGACAGAGGGCAAGGTGGCCAAGTACAGGAGTACAGGGCTCCTCATGACCAGCGTGCCGCAGTGTACTGGAATAGTACTTTGGTGGTGTTGGAGGTCATTGGTTTGGAGCCGGAGGAGGAGGAGGAAGAAGCGGTGGAGATGTTTGTCAGTGCACCGGAGCCATGCCACATTACTTTTCCAATCGATCCTGACTCCGGCGAGGGCGATGAGACGGTGGTCCAGCCGGAGGACAAGAATAAGGCCAAGGACACCCACCGCTCCAACCGCCTCAAGGGCCGCTAAGATTAGAATCTACTATGTAAGATTTAACCCCAATCCCCATTCCCCTTGTACTCAATCCGGATCGGAACCCTAAAATCCATGGCTACTAGGAACTCATGATGATGTTATGATCAGTACTATGGCTATTTACCCCATTCCCCATTCCCTTAGAATGCGGATCGAATCTAAACGTGGATCAGATGCGAAATAGTAAGTGAGGATGGTGGAAAAAGTGCTTACCGCCATTGCCGAAGTGTTGCGGGTGATGTTGCGGATTGGATGCCAACGATGAAGGCCGGTGGTCGCCTTGCTGTTCTCCGGTCTGCTGAACGCCGCCGCCGATGAGACTAGGAGAGTGGGGAGAGGGAAGAGAGAGCGATGAGGGAAGGTGAGGGTAATTATTGCCGGCGCTTCCGGAAGCAACACGGCTTCTCGAGCGAGGCTCCTCGCGTGCAGCAGCCGCCGCCGCCCACGTGCATAGCACGGGCCTGGCTCTGAAAAAATGCCGATTTGAGCATTCCCAGCGGGCCTGGCTCTGGGAAAAAAATACCGATTTGAGCGTTCCCAGCGGGCCTGGCTGGGAGGTGCTTTGAGGTCCATGCGATGCAGGCCAACAGTGAACCCAAGGAACCAAACAACCTATTTTCTTCCCACGTGGGTCTGATTGGCCTCTATGCGGGCTACCAAACACGTCATATGTGTTTCTATTTCGAAAAGGAGGAAGACCCCCGACCTCTGCATCTGGGCGATGCGTGCAACGACTTTATTAATTATTCACAAAGCTTACAAAGTAATACATTAGTAAGTCTCAAGCCACCATCTTGGCAACATCTATCGCTACTCATATCCACTTAATGAAGGGGTGCCGATAGTTCGAGCCGAATACCAAACAGACCTCGCACCAAAGCCTAACATCTAAAACCGGAGGCCCCAACCAATCCACATTGCCGGGTCTAGGGCACACACTAGTCCGATGCACCCTCAGAGGCTGCGGCCGTCGTCTTCCACCGATCCATCTTCAGAGCAGGTACCGACGCATCAATCTTGCGAGGCCTACCGTCTACGTCACGACAACGCCAGACAACGCCATCCTCCTGTGCTAGTCTGTCAAAACACGCATCGGACGTCGAGACCCCATTGCTCCACGTCGTCGAGATCCGCCATCGTCGATGCGGAGGAGGTAACACCACTCCACCTCTGAGCCCTTCCAATCAGCACCTGCTCCAAAACGATACCCCCGGGAGGGAAAACGACATGAAAGATACCGTCATTGTCCGATTAGGGAAGCCCCAGATCTAGGGTTTCCCCCTGTCGGGGCGTAGTTCCGCAACCTACAACAATGATGCCTCAAGAAGGGAACGACGTCATAGACGCCGCCATCGTCCGCCATGACCGTAGTCGGCTCCGCGATGAAATCATCGGAAGTCGCGTCACCCCGCTCTCGCAGCTGACATGAACCAAACGGAGCGTCGCCATGAAGACGAAAGCCGCTGTCAGCACGCCGGCAGTGGGCCTCCATCCGCCCCTCACTGGTCCCTCCACGCGTCGTCGGCCGGCTAAGGCCACACCGCGACGGATCTGGACGGGACGCCAAATCAGCGGCCATCGCTGCCACCCAACACCCGATCGGGCAAGCCAAGGACTCAACCCACTGTCCATGGGCGAACCGGCCATCGCCGCACGCTAGGGTCACCACCCTAACCGCACCGACTAAAGACGCGGGCGCCATCGGGAGATCGATCCGGGCAACAAGGCCCGAATCCCTCATGCTCGACCCCGGTCAGCCACGCAGAACCTCCTCGCCGCGCTGACGAGGGGTCCACCACCGGATCCACCGCGCCGTCCAGGCCGACGGGTTCCTAATATTCCCAACGTGAGTCTGTTAAGGGCAGTCACACGCCCTGACGCCCTATGTGTGTTTCAGCCCCATCTCGTTTTTGCAGGTAAAGATTGCTCATGAGAGGCCGGAGAGATATGGTACATGGACGAGGACACAAGATTGCAACGTTCAGCTGGAAAATAGCCCGTCATGATAGCTGCAACAATTCAGCACTTCTACCAGCATCTTAGGAACAAATTGGCACAAACTACTTCAGCACACGCGTATGATTTGTTTGGTCATTTTTTCTGTAATAACAAGCATGGTGTTGCACTGCTGTGATGTGCGTGAGTTCAAAATATGTCTCTGCTCCGTGAACAAACGAATTCCGCACGATGGGATTCCACACAAATTCAAAAGAAATTCCCTACTGGGCATCATAGTCTGCAATCTTTCCATCTGTTGCGTTAACAATTGCAGTTTTGGAACAAAGCGATGTAAACTGCTGAAGAAAAGTTTGCAGAATTTTATTACTACTCCCTCCGTTCGGAATTACTTGTCGTAGAAATGGATGTATCTAGATGTATGTTAGTTCTAGATACATCCATATCCGAGACAAGTAATTCGGAACAGAGTGAGTAGTATAGAGTTGATTCAACCAACACGACGGTGTTATGGCAAAAACCTACTTGATCTGGCTGGTTTCAATTCTCCGGGTAACCCAGTTCATGGCCCGCGGGCTAAGCTA